GTAAATAGGGAAGGGTGGAGGGGGTGAAGGAAGGGCTAGGAATGGGGAAAAAATAAGAACCAAGATGCATCACGTAAAGGTACAAGTTCCCAATGAGAAATGTAATTGTGTTGTATACCTAAAATGTACCAATAAAAGAATTTAAGAAAAGAAAAAGAAAAGAAAAGAAAGTAGTACATGGGCCCAAGATCACAGTCCTCACAGGTTCATCCAACACCAGATCCCAGATCTGTACTCCTGCTACAATGCCAGACTGCTTGTAGAGTTCTGAATTTCCTAAAATGGGCAGTATCATGGCAAGGTCTCTCACACTTGCTGTCACCTCTGGACATGCATTTACCTATCATTCATCCTCCTCTCCACTGAACTCTTCTCTTACTCATCTATCAAGGCCCAATTTAAATGCCCTTTTGTCCAAGACTCTTTCTAGATCCTGAATGCCCATGATGGAAATGGGTGCTTTTTTGTGTTCTTATAGACTTCTTTGTAATTCCTTTATCATAGTATGTATTATTGTAAACGATTGTTTGGCCAGCATAATGTAACCTTTTGCATTTGCTAGTGAATATCATTCAGGTAGGGACCATATCAATCTTGAAGACCACTGCACTTCTTGTCCCCAGCACAGAAAAACTAATGGCAGAAAAGTGTCACTACTTTTTCATTCACTGAAGCAAGTCACTCTTATTCTTACACCAGTGTTTCTCTCCAGCAGCAATGAAAGAGCCACTACGGTTTCTGAAGTTTCATCAGAGTCAGAGGTGGACAAAGGAGGCATGGTATCAACTCCCACTCGGGAAAGAAGGCTCCAGAGAAGGCAAGGGTTGTGCTAGGGCATTAAAACAGAGTGTTTGGAAACCCGCAGAAAAGTGCATTGTATGGGAGTTAAGGCCGGCTTCCCCTGTGCCAGGTCTTGCTCTGGGTAGTAGAGACACAAAGCAGTGGGACAGTGCAGCCTTTGCTCTCCACTCTGTGACCTTGGAAGTCCTGATCTAAAGCCCGAATTTCTCCTACTGAAAACAAGGAAGACATCTGCTTCCCTTACTGAAGAGAAGAAAACTACAAGCTTTGAGAAAAGCCCCACGGGCCAAACGCCACTGTGTCCTAACTTCGCGGAGTTCCCTCCGCTCAATCCTGCCTTGTCTGAGCTTCACTTTACCATATATAAGGCCTGAATAACTTCGTGGGCCTGAACCCTGTCTCAGCCTCTCCGAACTGCACGGCAGAAACCCACAGCTCTAGCCGCTGGCCAAAAAGTAACACGTCCTGGCCTCACCTGTCGGGGGCGCGTAGGCCCGGGCCGGAGACTGGGGGGCTGGCCCTAGCCTCGCGGAAGCGGTGGGGTCACCTGGGGGCCACTTTAGGAGGCGGCGGCCCCAGTCCTGCAGCCGAAGGCAGCTCCTCCACATCGCTCCCGAGGACCTGGGAGCACACGCGGTGAGAGACCCCAGCGCAGGAAACTCAGAGTGAAAGGATCCCTAAGTAGCACGCTCGAGCTGTACGGAAACCTCACAGCGCTTCCGCAGAGCCCTCAAGCTCCCCTGGACGCCGCCATCTTCCACATGACACCTACGGCGCGCCGTCGCCGCCGCGCACCCTGCGCACACCCCCAGTCAATCAGCATCACAAATGTGCTTCTCCCCTCCCCTCCACGCCGTGTTTGGGAAGAAGACTACAAATTCCAGAGGGCTTCTCGCGCGCCCCGCCAAGAGTTTTCTCCTCTCGCCAATGGGCGGAAGCGCCGCATGAAACTGCTCCCGCCCTCCCCGGCGCACCTGAGCTAATCGGAAGGGGTGGTGTGTGTGTGTGCGAGGGCAAGTGGGGAGGGGCACCCAGCTCGGGACTGGGAGGCCCTTCTCGCAGGTCCTGGGGTCCCAGTGGCGGCCCGAGCCCTTGGTCCACTGGCAGCGGGCGGGTGGTCCGGCCTCCCGCCCCCACTTCGCGCGTGCGCGCCCGACGTCTCCCTCCCGGCCACCTTCTTTGGCTCCCGCGCGGCGACAGCGGTTCCTCTCCCCCTCCCCCTAGCCCTGGCTCCGGGGGACCCCGCGATGCCGGTCCGCACAGAGTGTCCCCCGCCGGCTGGTGCCTCGGCCGCCTCTGCGGCCTCACTCATCCCGCCGCCGCCCATCAACACCCAGCAGCCCGGCGTGGCCACCAGCCTGCTCTACAGCGGCTCCAAGTTCCGCGGCCACCAGAAGAGCAAGGGGAACTCGTACGACGTAGAGGTGGTGCTGCAGGTGAGCGCCAGGCCGGGCTGGGCCGGGGCCCGAGGGCCTCCTCGCGGCGCTCACGGGCCGTGCCCGCCCTCGGCTCCTCGAGCCCGCAGCTGCGGATCAGGCCCTCACTGCCGAGGCCTCCTGCACCGGCGCCTCCTACCCGGGACCTGCCCAGCTGGTGTCTCACACTCTTGGAGCCCCAGTCCTGACCTGGCCCTCGGACATGGAGCCTGCAGGGGCTGGCTCCTGGCAGTCCCGGAATACTGTTCCAGACTTGAAACCCCTGACCGGTCCGCCGGGCATCCGGAATCTCCCCTCCCCATGACTGGCCGTGCCTTGGCCTGGGTTCGTCCACCCCAAGACCTGTCACCCCTGCACCAATCTTCACACCAGTCACTCCCTCTCAGACCCTGAAGAACTCTCCAATGGTTTCTCCAGACTCAGGACCCTCCCTGTGTCCGTTTCACATTCTCCCAGACCTGAGACAAAACCCTAGCCTCAGTCCCTGGGGCCTTCCTCCTCCTGGGGAAATTGATCAGCCTCCCTGGATTTAGGAACATACTGCTCCTTTGGCTGAGAGCCCCCAATCCCACAAACCATTCCTCAGTCTCTGGATCCCCTTGAAAAGCAGGTACTTGTATCCTGGGTGCCAGAGTGGAGCTTCTCATGGTCTGTTAGTATCTAGCCTCCTGGCACCCCCCCCCCCCCCCGCACTGCTTGCTTGAAAGTCTGGTCCGGTCACCCAGCTCCCCCGACTCTGGGCCTCCTGCTCCAGGCTTCTCATACACCCTTCCCTGCACAGTGGCCCACTTCCCATGGGCTCCATGTATCCCTGGCCTCTTCCTAGACTTTCCCACCCCATGCCTTCATCTAGCTTATGACTGGATCAAAGGGATCTTCTTTCAGTTTTTTTTAACATTTGTCTACATAGGCACAGGGGTTCCTCCCAGTCTCTGATACCAGTATTCTGGGAAATCTAACCTACCTAGTTTTATTTTGTGTCCATTGTCCTCCCCCTGTTTGAGCTGGATTTCTAGTACCTGTTGCCAGTTTCTGATCAGCTTTGGAGCTACAGATTCACCTGTTGGGGCCTTTTCGTGTACCTCATTTCTCTCTCCCAAATGTTAGCACATTAGCACAAAATGATGCTTTTTCTCAGCCAAAAGAGATTGATAGTGGATATTCCTTTTTATCTCCCTTTCTCACCAGACTGTACCTCAATTTTTAACCTTTCCTGTCTTAGGACCTACTTTCCCCTTCCTTTTGCCTATTTCTCTGACACCACTTCCTAGGCTATTTCCCAAAGTTCCTCCAAACACCTCTGTGTAGAAAGCCCTTCCAGAAGCTTAGAGGTGCTTTATGCTGCCTTTCTGCTCCCCTGTGTAAGAGTGAAATGTACAGTGTTCTTGTTCTTCATGTGATCTCCTTTTTTTTTTTAAACTTTAAATATTACTCTCTTCTGAACAAGTAAGTCTTATCTCCCAAAGATAATGGAGAACTAAGTGGAGAGCACAGTTAAGTCCCTTTTTTTCTCTGATTTCTAGGGAGTTTTCTCTGGTTTTGACTGGGAAAGCTGCATCCTCACATTAACTGTATCATTGATCTGTAAACTGTGAACTTATATTTATTGCAACTGAAAACCTACTATGACTAAGATATTTCAGTCCTTATAACTCTATGCCTAATGTGATGATTGATCCTTTTTTGCTTAAAATGTGAAAATCTAACATGAAGGTCAGGTTTGTTTGTTTTTTTTATTCAATTCTGGAAGTGAGATCCCTGAGTGGGTCATGTTTGGAATTGTCCTGAATTTGTACCTGTTCTGATGCAGTAAGGTAGTTAGGCATTAAAGGGAAGTCTGCCTTGGTTAGTGCAACTACTCCCTTCTGTCATTAGTGTGTTGTGAACTCTTGTCAGGTCCTAGTCTCCCTGTGAACCAGTAGAAGCAGTGATTGAGTTGGATCATGGCTGGTAGGTGTCAGGGAGCCCAGAACAGAAACCTGGCCAGTGGCTGAAAGCCACTTAAGTAGATGTCTGATGGTGGGTTGGGTGGTCATGCCAAGGAATGCTGCCCTACGTCTGGATAGGTGAGCTTGTTCATTTTCAGCACTGCAACTAGTCAAAGGCATGTGAATTGCCCCATCATCTGGTTTTTCAGCTAGGACTAGTTTCTTAGACTCAGTTTTCTTAGTCTATTTCTCTTGTCTTTCATAACAGCTTCCTGCTTTCTTTCTCTCCTTCCTTTTAAGCACCTTTATGGAGGTGTAATTCACATACCATATTGTTTATTTTTGTGTGTGGTACTGGGGATTGAATGAGCCTTTGTCCTCAGTTACATCCTCAGCCCTTTTTTATTTTTTATTTTGAGACAAAGTCTCATTAAATCAGTAAATTGTCGAACTTTTTGTCCTCCTGCTGCAGTCTCCCAGAGTATAATTTACATATTCAAGATGTACACTTCAGTAGTTTATGTTGTGTTCGCAGAGTTGTGCATCACCACAACCCAATTTTAGAACATTTTTATCACCCCAAAAAGAATCTTTCATATCCCTTGGCTCAAATCCTAGGCAACTGCTAATATTTTTTCTCTTTTTTAAAAAATTTGCCTAATCTGGCTGTTTCATATAAATAAAATCATAGTAGTATCTGTCCTTTTGTGACTGGCTTACTTAAGCATAGTATTTTCAAGACTCATCCATATCATTCCTTTTATTGTATTCTTCATTGTAACCATTGTTGTATGGATATACAATATTTTGTTTATCCATTGATCAGTTTATAGACATTTAGGCCTTTTTGCCACTTTTTGGCTATTATGAATAATGCTGTGAACATTTGTGTATATTTGTTTTGGAGATGGAGTCCCCTTGCATTGCCCACACTGTCTTTGAACTCGTGGGTGTAAGTGATCCCCCCACCTCAGCCTCCTGAATGCTGGGACTACAGGTACATACCACATCCAGCTTATATACAAGTTTTTATATGGATATGTGGTTTCACTTTTCTTGGGTAGACAGATACCTAGTAGTACAATTGCTGGGTTATATAGTAACTCTGTGTTCAATATTTCACGCAATTACCAGTGATTTCTAAAGTGGCTGCTTCATTTTACATTTCCAACAGCAACATACCAAGGTTCCAACTTCTCCACATTCTTGCTAACACTTGCTGTTCACCTTTTGTTTGTAGCCATGTTGGTGGGTCTGAAGTAGTATCTTATTGTGGTTGTTAATTTGAATTTCCCTGGTGCATCTTTTCATGATGTGCATCTGTTCATGTGCTTTTTGACACTTTCTGTTTTACTATTCGGATGTAAAGTTTCTCAAACCTTTGTGGGGTTTTGACTAGGTTCCCCCCCCCACCACCATTACTGTGAGTACTCTTTCCCCTTCTACCACCCCAGAACCCACCAGCAGAGTGTTGCCTGGGTGGGTCCCTGTGAAAGGAACATTAAAAAAAAGCTGTTGGACACAGCTGTGCTGTGAGACCTCCTTGCTAAACATTTTCCTAGTTATCTTTTTCGTTGAGATGCTGGCCCCTCATTTGCTTAAAGCTTTGTACAATGTGTGATAATTTGAGTTCACCAACTATCAGGATCACTTTGGGCAGGATGGAAGAGATGATTGAACAGAGGCCAAACAGAAATTCTGATTCTTGAGCGTGTGATAATCCATGCAAATTCGAGCTAATTTACAGTATAATTTTTAATCTTGTTAGCAGGTATTCCTGCTACCTTTTCTGGGCACTGTGAAACCCCAAACTTAATTGAATTCAATGAGAATTGCATACGTGAAATTTAAGGCCTCAGGTTAGAACTATATGTCTTTTAATAAAAGTTCTTTGCTGAGCCATGTTAGTGTGGATCAGCTGTTTTCCATAATGTCCAATGCCAAAGTCAGCAGATGAGGACATCTGAAATACTTTGGCAGTTTTTGCATGGAATACCATTGTCACCAGCACCAAGCTTTAACTTCATAGAAGCCCAGTTTTCTTTGGTGCTGACATCATCTGGCTAAGTTTATTACGGCTTTTAAGGACTGCCTTAGTATTATTTGATTTATGGTGTAACTGGAGTAAAGTTTTCAAATCTAATAAATGCCACAAACCTTTCTAGTTTCCTGAAATGAGACCTCACTTAACATAAAAATCTGTGTGCCACCGCCTGCTGTGTAAGCACAAGGACCCGAGTTCGATCGCGGTACCAAAAAAACAAACAAAAATCTTTGTGCTACAGGTACCACTGAATTTTTTTTTTTTTTAGCTTTAATTCATAGGTTAGTAGACAGAGTTTCCAAGTTCATGACACAGATTCATTTTAAGTCATGGATTAGAAACTGCCTATTCAGGATGTCTATATAGATTTGGGTGAAATGTGCTAATGAATTTGGTGTCATCTGCAAGGAACAGTGTTTTACATTTCAAAATAGCTTACAGAATAATTGAACCTATTACCTCATGTTACAAGGAGTTTAAAGGTGATAGGGTTCTAGCTTGGTTAGTTAAAAAGCCTGTGATAGGCCTACTTCCTTCCATCTTTCTGGCCTGCCATCCTCAGCGCTTCCTTACCTGTTTCTCCTCCTGATTTTCTGATAGCTGCCTTGGAACTGGATACTATATGCAGATACTGCCACTACCCAGGGAAGGAAAAGAGCCATTTCTTCCTCTTGTTCCTCTTCAAATGCCAGAGATCCTTGCCTGGCACACCCAGGAGACTCACACACATACCTCATTGGCTAGAACTGGGTCATTCCCTGCTAAACCAATGACTCCCAAGGAGATGGGGGTCTATACTTGCCTGAAATACATCAGGATTGACCACGTCTTATAGGTCAGGGTAGGTGCCAGAACAAAATCCAGGCCCTGGAAGTGTGGAAAAGAGGACATTGGTTGTAGGCATTGGCAATGCCTCGGCAACCCATAATTGGTGGCTGCTAAACCTCAAAATCTACTGTGCCTGTTATTCCTATTTTCACCTCCTGACTCTTCATTAAGAAATACAAGCATCTGTACATGAAATGGACAGAGAAGACATTCACAGTATAGTCAGAGTTTTGGTTGGTAGTTTGGTTTAGAAGTAAAAGTTATACCACATTAATCTTCATAAAATGCTGTTTTCCCCCCTGGTACTGGGGATCATACTCAGGACCTTGTGATTATGAGACAGGCTCGGTACCACTGGGCTAAATCCCCGGCCCAATAAAATGCTGTTCTTGAATATTTTGCTCATTTCATAAAGAATGCACAATGGTGCTTAGTATAAAATAGGGCAACAGTAGATTTCTTAGGCCAGTGATTGAATATCAGGAAAACAGAAGTAGCCTAGAAACATGTTTAAAAAAAAGTCTAGAGCCAGGGATTTAGCTCAGTGGTTCCACTGCCTGCCTTGAGAGCACAAGGTCCCGAGTTCGATCCCTGGTACCAAAAAAAAGTCAAGCCAGGGGTTAGGGATAACACCTTTGTGCAGATAGAGACCTTATGTCCAATAATGCACAAAGTGTAGATGAGTGGGAGACTTGTGTTGAAGACAGTACAAAAAACTTTTAGTGGGCTCACCATTCCAGAAAGGAACTTCAGTCTCAAGATACACAGCTAAAAGAAGAGGGTCCTGGGATCGGTCTGCATCATCAGAACAAGCATGTGTACAAGGAGAACTTTTGAAAGTTCCCAAGTCTGAGAGAACCTTAGGCTGATCTGGGTGTATACTGACCACTAGGCCTTCCTGACCTAGCCTGGCCTTGCAGGATTTTCACAGTATCTGCAGTGGGGCCCCAATTGGCTCATCCATTTGTAACAGTTTGTGTGTCTTCTTTTCAGCACGTGGACACGGGGAACTCTTACCTTTGTGGGTACCTGAAGATTAAAGGCCTTACTGAGGTAAGCACTCGTCACATGAGTCTGAACCAGGAAGTGGGTGGTCCACATCAGAGTCCTATAGAGTTGAGGACAGACAGTACCAATGATGTTTTAAGCATTGTTAGATCGGGAGCATTAAGCATGTGGTTTTGTTGTGTCCTCTTGGGAAGTAGCACAGCCATCAAAATTTTTTCCCCATTGTGCTGAGGATGGAACCCAGGGCCTCATTCATGCTAAGCATGTACTCTACCACTGAGCTACACTCTTCCCCTTCACAAATCTAAAGAAGTTTATAAATATGTCACAATGTGACCAGTACTATTGGTTTGCATGTTAATGCTTTTGTCAGATAAAAAATGTAGATAAGAGGGGCTGGGGATTTAGCTCAGTGGTTTTGCCACCTGCCTCGCAAACAGAAGGAGCTGAGTTCGATCCCCGATCCCCCGGTACCAAAAAAAAATGTAGATAAGAATATGGCCTCCTCTCTTATCATAAGCTCAAGTCTGTGAGATAAGCATCTTAAGAAAAGTTCATTACACCCTATAACTCATCAAAACAATGAGAAATCACTTTCTGGTTTCCAACCTGGTGGTCTATGTAAGAACATTTTCCTTCCTTTGACCCCGCTCTTCAGACCTCAAAACTCCTGAGATTTAGAAGGCAGGGAGCATCCCTTCTCTTCCATTAGTGGTAAACAGGAAGAGGAGGGAGGGAACTGAATTGGCTGCTGAGCTCTGCTGTGGATGTATGGGCGTGACCCTGCTGCATAGTCCTGTGGGCTTTTATCACTTCTGATATTAATGACCCAGCAGGATTGGGCTGTGCTAGATGGAGTGGCAGCATTCTCATTCTGCCCCTTACCAGTTGTGTGACCTTTAATTTCTCTTCCGTTTCCTCATTTGAGTTATTAAAAATGTGCTGTGACTAGTTGTGATGCCACATGTCTGTAATCCAACTACTCAGGAGTCTGAGGCAGGATCACAAGTTCAAAACTAGCATGGCCACTTGGACTTTGTCTTAAAAATAATAATAATGACGATGATAATAATAATAAAAAGAGCCAGGGTCTTGTGCTCTACCATTGACCCACAGCCCCAGTCCTCCTCCTACTTTTCTATATTAGAAGCTAGATTGAGCATTCCCTATGAACTTACGTTGTTGAGACAGAAGTTATTATCTTCACCTCTAGAAACATATCTAGTCAGGAAGGGGTAGAAAATGATAGCAAAATAAAGGATTCTAACCTTTGGGTTTGTTGTAGGAGAAAACATAGTAAAACAGAATATGCTCAACTCTTAAGGCATCCAAATGCATTTGTTAATGGAGTGCAGAGCATAAGCATTTAACTTCGTAAGGAAACCAGCAAAATGTGTAATGCAAACACTGACTCCAGGCCCTGTCATTTGGGTTATAGGCTGCTGCACGGAAATGGTAAGTAGCGTTAGAAATCTTGAAAGAGTGTGCAGAAATGCTAATGACTGGGAGTAGATTGCCCTTACTAAGGGAAGCCCCTCTGAGGTATGAACAGCAGTTGGGGTTCCTTGAGGAGGGGGTACTGGCATAGCCCTTCATGGGGGCTAGCCTATGGGGAATCCTGGGCTCCTAACAGAACCATGGAGACTCTCACTCCTCTCCTGTTCATGGTCTTCAGGTAGAGTGGCCTTGATGAGCACATCTTCCCCAGAGGTGATCTGCCCCAGGCCAGCATGGGCTCAGTGATGCTGCCACCAAGCATTTAGTTAAAGCACAGTGTTTCCTGGGATTCCTAAGTCCTGTCCAGGTCTCAGGATAATTAGAATTCTTTTTAAGTAACTTTTTAGTAGCTTTATTGAGATATAGTTCAATATGATTCACCCACTTAAAGTATACAATTCAGTGATTGGGGATATAGCTCAGTGGCAAAGCACTTGCCTAGCAAGTGAGATACCTTGGGTTCCATCCCCAGCACCAAATACAAATAAATAAATAAATAAATAAAATGTATAATTTGTTAGTTCTGGGTATATTTACAGAGTTGTATAACTATTCAATATGATTTAAAATCATATATCTATGTATGGTTGCTGTAGATAATAAAATATAGAAAAACAATATGAATCTTTGAATGAATTTTATACCTGTATTATTTATTTTCTTTGCTATCTTATTTAAAATTGTTAAAATATCAAATGTGTAATTTATTTGAATTAAATCATGTAAGTGGTTTGGGTTTTAATCATAGTAGTTGTCATCCTCACGTGTTCAGTGTGTACCATTGAAAACTAAGTTGGAGATAATTTGTCTCACATTCACAAAGCACAACTTTAAGGTTTGTGTACCTTTTAAACATGAGATTTCAGAATTGTAAAGAATGGGTATTAAATAACATTCTCTTTGTACTGTATTTCTGAGCTGGCAGAGAGCCCTTTCCTAGGAGCTCAGCACCTGGCTGGTATCTGGGAGCCCAGCCTTGGGGATTCATGATCAAGTCCTCCACTTAGTCCTTAGGTGGGTTTAGAAGCTCCATGAAGTTGTGCTAGATTTCTTTGAAAACAGGGAGACTGGTCGCAATAACCAAACTCACAGGAGACCAATGTGTGAACAGATGTGTGTGTTCACTCTCAGAATGAGGTCTGTGCCTATTCTAGATGTTCCTGTTGACTTACTAGCCAAATAGATTTAAATTTCTCAGAAGACAGGTCTGTATGAAAAGCCAAGTTAGCTATCATTGGACAGTTTGGGGTGAGCCTGGAATCAGTGAGAGGAGCTAGTTGATGACTTCGGTGGGTGAAGCCCATACCTGCCCAGAGTTAGCGAGCATCAGGGGTGGGGGGTCCTGGCTGTCTATAGCTCCCCCCTCTGGCTTGTTTTTCTAATAGCTTTTCTTCTGCTCCCGTGTAAATCCCCCCTGATTTAGCTATACTGTAGTCAAGTGCTTGATTTACCTGTGCCAGCCCTGAGAAATATTTTATCTCTTGGTAATTTCTGTACATATTGAATCTCATTCACTACCCATTTATTAATTCTCAGAGTGTGAGGTACCTTCTGGTCACTCTGATATACTGTCTAAAGTATTTCGGAGAGAAGTCAGTGCAGAATCATTCCTTGGGAAAGCTAGTGGTTTAAGCTATAAGTATTTCAGTTACATTAGGACCACTTTGTTCTTCTATTGTAGGAGTTCTGAAAAATGATTAAAACTCAAAACTCAGGAAAAAAATATATGTAGCTTCTAGTTTAAAATTTCAAGTCAGGTACTGGCTTACATAAAACTTTTTCTCTTAGTATCCTTCCTAAAGACAGATTAGTATAGTGCTCGCTTCGGCAGCACATATACTAAAGACAGATTAGTATAACTTAGTTTATGCCTTAAAAATTAGGTTTCCAAGAGGTTTCTCCTTTTATTTCTTCATTCCATATATATAAACATCAATATGAAGAATCTAGCAGTACCAGTAGGTTAAGGGGTTTGTTGGTTTTGAGTATTAGATTTATTATATTTTGAAGTTCATTGTTAAGAAAACAGAACGAGGGATTGAAGGTATAGCTCAGAGGTGGTGTTGTAAAGCAGGCTTCTTGCCAGGCATGGTGGCACACACCTATAATCCCAGCACTCTGGGAGACTGAAGCAAGAAGATTGAAAGTTCAAGCCCAGCCTAGGATACTTAGCAACTTAGTGACTATGCTATCTCAAATAATACATACATACATACATACATGACTAGGGATGTAGCTCAGTGAGAAGACCCTGGGTTTAAATCCCCACTAGTGCAAAAAAAAAAAAAAAATCAGTACTAAGCATGTACAGACTTGTTAAAAATAAAGTAGGCCTCTTTAGTCACCTCAGCCTTGGGCCGGGGATTTAGTTCAGTGGTTTCGTCGCCTGCTGCACAAGCACAAGGACCCAAGTTCGATCCCCAGTACCAAAAAAAAAATAGTCACCTCAGCCTTGGTGGCAGTGTTGTTTCCCAGAGCCCTTGAGCCAAGAGGGTACTGAGGCAGTGCCTCTCAGGAAAGTCCTGAGCTATGCGCAAGCCAAGCTGGGAGCAGTGGCAAAGCCATCAGGATGGATATATTTTAAATATGTTTGATGCAAAATGAGATGTGCTTACATTCAGCTGAGGATAATGACTCAGTGGTAATGCACTTCCCTAACATCTGTAGGACCTGTATACCATCCCCAGGATTTATAATCCTAACTACTCTAAAGGTTGAGACAGGAGAAACAGAAGTTTGAAGCCAGCCTGGGCAGCTTAGTGAGAATCTTGTCTCAAATCACAATATAAAAGGGCTGGAGGGACTGGGGCTGTAGCTCACTGGCTCTGTGCCTGCCTGGCAAAGGCTGCAAGGTCCTGAGTTTGATCCCTGGTACCAAAAAATAAATAAATAAATTAATTAATTAATTAAATTAAAAAGGGATGGAGATGTAGCTCAGTGGTAGAGCACTCATACGTTCCATTCCTAGTTCTTGGGGAAAAAAAGTGCTTACATAGAATCTGGAGGAAGAAGTAGGACCTCTGTAGTCCCAGGGACTTTGTATTTTTCACTGGTAAACTGTGCTCTTGAAAAACCTCAAGGCCTTGGACAAGGGGTCATTTGGTTGGTTGATTGTTTAGTGTTTAGTTGGTTTTGATAAATGTGAATAAAAGGAAGACTTTTGCACCAGGGGTTTAGCTCAGTGGTTCCACCACCTGCCTTGCAAGGTCCCAAGTTCAATCCCCGGTACCAAAAAAAAAGAATGACTTTTTAGTAGTGTTGTTTTTCTCCCATTAATTTTTCTGTAAATCTTTGGTACCTGTTTATTGGCACATGAACAAATGGCAAATAAAATTAGCAGTATTCCAAGCAGTGAATGATAGCTAGCTTATTTTTAAAAACATTTTGTTTTTGGTACTGGGGATTGAACTCTGGTCCTTGTGCTTACGAGGCAGGCAGCGGAACCACTGAGCTAAATCCCCAGCCCCAAAACAGCATATTTTTAATGGTTGAGATTTAATATTGCAGACATGATTTACCTATTTCCCTCACATAAATTGTTCATAATTCATAGGATAGAATTAAATGTGTCTCTGGCACATTCAAGGTATTCCCCCCCCCCATTTTTTTTCCAACCCTGGAAACTTCAAGAATTGGTATAAAAGGGACAGATATAAAGGAGCTGTAGTTTGAGAGCCAGTGGGCTGATCTGAGGTTTGAGAGAGACATTATGGTTTTTGGGTATTGTTGGGTGTACTCCTTAGAAAGTGCAGTTTGCTAAGTTGTGATTTGCTTTGTATGCTAGAGTATGCAGAGTTTACTTCTTGTGAAAATCATCCAGATTGCTTTTGAAAGACCAGCATATATCAAGCCAAAGAAGGGTTCTCTGCTCTGGCAGAGTCCCCAAAGTTGAAGAGATTTTCTACTATCTAGGCCATTTAAATTCAGGTTTATTTCCACAGCCTGGATCTAACTCTGGTTTGGATTGTTAACAATGTGATCAGTTTTGTCTCAAAGCATTGGGGATAAGGTAAAGTAAGCTTGATTCTTTTTGTTTTTTAAGATTAAAGTGAGCTGGTTAGTGGTACAGCAATTACTTAGTATGCAGGAGGTCCTGAGTTCCATCCCAAGTGTTGCACATAAGTGCACAAACACACACACAAATACACACTCCCAAAAGACTGTCATTGAACATCTCATTTTGGTATTTGCTTTTTACTATAGGAGTATCCAACCCTTACAACTTTCTTTGAAGGGGAAATAATCAGCAAAAAACACCCTTTTTTAACGCGCAAGTGGGATGCAGATGAAGACGTTGATCGGAAACACTGGGTGAGTGAGGCTCTGCCATGCTGGGTATCCAGAGACTTCAGGAAACTGAGATGTGCCAAGAGCCAGAGACCTCATCCCTTATTGGGAGTTACTGAGGACTTTGCAGCCAAAGGGAAGTTATTTCCTACACATAAACCTCCATTACTCTGTCTTCCTTCTGAAGTGAGTTCTCATATTGCCTGATCCCCCTCTTAAATACCATGTAGTTATCTGGTGATAGCAACTCCCTGAGTTCTACTCACAATTTTCATAGCTTTCAGAACCTTAGCAGTATCTCCATCCTTCCCATTTGTCTGTCCACTATTCCTTCTTAGTCACCTCTACTTGGGAAAAATGTGTCACTGACCTTGGATTGGCCTGAGATGGAAATACTGCTCACAGATACCCAGCAAGGGCAGGACTACAACGCCTCTTTTCTGCCTATCACCATATCATTTAGACAGCACTGCAAACTCCAGACGCCCCTCTTTTCAGCTGTCAAGAATGGAGTGTTCTCATTTCCTAGTAGTGAATACTTCAAGACAACTTAAGAGTAACTGTCCTAGGGTCTTTTCCCTGGTTGTCACCCAAGTCTTATGTCTTCAGAAATCTATTTCTCAACCTATCATAATAGCTTCCTCAACCATGGTAACGATGAATTTTTGTTTAACATGGAGAAATTCCTTCTGTAAAGAAATGGCTGTGTCCATAAAGAAGGTTTTAGAACTCATTATTATTCTTGCTACTCCTTGTACCTGGCTGTCTAAACCCTTCTGATGCCAGCACCACTCTCTATGTAAAAGATCTGCTATAGACTCTTGTCTTAGCCTTGGTGTGGATTACTGTTGTGCTTATTAATGTTTTGAAAATACTGAGTTTCAGTTAAATTCAAAATTTGAGGTTTTAAAAACATTTTTCTGAAAGCTACATGTTTTGTCTGTCATAGCAAATATACATCAAAACGTAGACAATCATTTGTGTGTCTTTACAATACAAGAGAATAAGCAAGATCCAAGTAGCAAAAGTTGGGGCAGCCCCAGTAGAACATGACAGTGTCAGAATCAGAGTCAAAGGCTCCTGGGTGCTACCTCTACCACCCTGTCCCCACCACATGTACATCATCAAGTGGCTCCTTCCTCTCTTGCACAGCCCTGGTGTAAAATTCTTCTTCATAGTGAACCATGCAGCTTTATTTGTCATTTCAAGTTGACCCTGCAAAAGCCAAAATCTGAGGCCCAGTAACAACTCAGTGTTAGGCTAGGTGACTGCAGATTAATATCTGAAGCCATCATCTTCTAATTTTCCCCCTGGCTTCTAGTAGAGCATTGGACTATATTGGAGACTCTACCCTTCATTAGACTGGATTGAAATGCTTGGGGTGCAAGAGGGATGATTACAGGTGGTGCACACCTGTAATCCCAGTGCTCAGGAGACTGAGGCAGGAGGATCACCATGAGTTTGAGGCCAGCCTGGTATACATATCTCAAGACTAGCCTGAACTACATTGCTAAAAGAGGGGGGTTGGGGCAGGGAGCATGGAGCCTACTTGTAACTCCAGCATGCCAAGTGTGATAGGATGAGGGAGCTAGGCCCCTAGAATGTTTCCTTCTCCAACACTTCTAGCTGCTGTTCAGTCTTCAGCATTTCCCATGACTTTCTAAACTCGGAGGAGATCCAGATCCCTATGTGGGACTATGGGAGCTCCATACTGCATCTTATTTGTCTGAGGTTCATAGTGTGTGATAATCTTTACTTCTGGTATCATTTTTCCATTGTAAATTAGAATCAGAGACATGGTATTAGACCCTCAGCTTGGTATCATGGTGGTACTATAAACTCAAGAGTCTATATATGTAGTCTATTTAGAATACATGTGTGAAAAATTTGTGATTTTAATATCTCTATATTTTAGCCAGACATAGTGGCACACACCTATAATCCCAGCACTCAGGAGGCTGAGGCAGAGGATCACCACAAGTTCAAGCCAAGCCTGGGCTACGTAGTGAGTTCAAGGCCAGCCTACACTGCATAGTGAGACTTTGTCTCAAAAACAAACCCCTCCTCAAATATATATATCTTGATTTTGTGTGTATATGTGGTGAATTGAACCAAGGGCCTGATTTTTTTTAATGAATTAATTTTAATATTTTGATTGAAACCAAATGTTTATACATATTCATGCGGTACACTGTGGTATGTGTGTGTGTATGTGTGTGGTGCTAGGGTTGGAACCCAGGGTCTCACACATGCTAGGGAAAACCTTTGTCTGCCTCAATGTGACATTTTGACTTAATGCATACATTGGGTAATGATTAACTCAGGATAATTAGAATATTTACCACCTTAAACTTTCATCACTATTTTTTGTTTTTTAATAAAATTAATACATGCTTATTTAAAACTATTTGAAATGACAGAATAATTAGAGGGAAAAATTGTCTACAATGATAATGTCTAAAGATACAACAGTTTTTTGTGGGTTTTTTTGGTACATGAATCGAACTCGGGTCCTTGCACTTGCAAGACAGGCAGCCAAACCACTGACCTAAATCCCCAGCCCAGCTACAACAGTTTTTGACTTTTTCTGAAATCTTTTGGGTAAATAGAGTTGACTGTGTGGTTTCTGAATTGGTGAATTCAGCCAACTGCAAATCAAAAATATTTGGGGGGTGGGCCGGGGATTTAGCTTAGTGGTTTCGCCGCCTGCTGCGCAAGCACAAGGACCCAAGTTCGATCCCTGGTACCAAAAAATAAATAAGTAAACAAACAAAAATACTTTGGGGAAAAATTTCACCCGTGTTGAGTATATAGAGATTGTGTGTGTGTGTGTGTGGTGATTGAGGGTCATTGTACTAAGGTATATCACCAGCCTACTTTTTATTTTTAATTTTTGAGAGAAGGTCTTGCCACATTACTCAGTTGCCCAAGCTGGGCTCAAACTTGCAGTCCTCCTGCCTCAGCCTACCAGAGTGCTGGGGTTACAGGCATGTGCCACCACATCCAGCTGTATGGTTTTTTGGTCATTATTTCCTAAATAATTCAGTAGAACAACTTATGTACATAGTATTTGCATTAAATTAGATATTATAGGTAGTCTAAAGATGATTTAAAATATATGGGAGCATGTGTGTTGATTATATACAAATACCATTTTATGTGAAGGTTCCTGGAATCAATTTTCTGCACATATTGAGGGATGACTATACTTTCTTTTGCCTTTTTAAAAAAATGACATCATAAGATTCGAGGGTTTTGTTTTGTTTTTTTCTCGTACCAGGGATTGAACTCAGGACCTTGCACTTACAAGGCAGGCGCAGCGCCACTGAGTTAAATCCCCAGCCCCATAAGATGCAGTTTTGTAACCTATTTCTAATCTTTTTTTTTTTTTTTTAAGATGAGGTCTTGCTGTGTTGCCCAAGCTGACTGACCTTAAACTCCCTGGGCTCAAATGATTTTCATTTTTTAGCTTTCTAAGTAGCTGGAACTACGGGCACATGCCACTGTCCCCGGCTGCTAGTCTACTCTTTGGTTTTTTTGAGACAGGGTCTCACTATGTAGTTCAGACTAGCTTTGAACTCACTATGTAGCTCAGGCTGACCTCTAACCTCCTGCTTCAGCCTTCCAAGTGCTAGGATTACAGGTGAGTACCATCACACTCAGCATGTCTCCTTTTTAAACTTAGGCATGTATTACCTGTTTCTACCCAGGTAACGCCCAAACTCCTTATTGTCCCAAAAGACCAAGCTTCACAAGCCCCTTTCCTCTCTGGCTAGACAGGCCCTTTCTGTGTGGTTCTGTATGGCTCTTTTTGCTCCTGTGGGTTTATTTAGAGAGCTGTTCTCATTAATTATTCTTGGCTTTCATGTGTTTGTAGTGAGGTATTCAGAGAAAAGGCCCCTGGGATAGCGTCCATTCCTACCCTTTGGCCTTTTCTGGGTTGTGTTCACTAGACAGGCATAGTCCAGTGGGACCTCAGCTTGAGTCCACTTACCTGCTCCAAATTCAGGTCTGTGTCCACTGGGGTGACCACAGGCTCCCTCACTGTTAATCAGCAATTGTTGCTCTTGTTAGGAGCCATGAATTCTGACTCTAGTCACTCCCTCTGTTGATCAATTATCCTACTCTATATTTTGCTTTTAGGGCAAGTTTCTGGCTTTTTATCAGTATGCAAAATCATTTAATTCAGATGACTTTGATTATGAAGAGCTGAAGAATGGGGATTATGTCTTCATGAGGTGGAAGGTAAGATCTTGCCCAAGCTGTCTTCCAAGACTCCGACATCAGCTCCTGTAATGCAGTCACACACACCTGTATATCACCCAACCAGGGGCTCCCTGTGTCCCCTGTTTGTCCCAGTGCATCTTCATGGCAGGGTCTTTACATACTTGATCAGAGCAAGCGTGGTCCAGAACATACACTTTGGATATCCCAACCAGCTTGTCTGGTTACACTGCTTAGAGGGCAGCAGTTGAATTTGTGCCTACGTGGGCACCCCTGAAAGTGTTGTTTGCATCTTCCCCTTGTCCTTTCTCATCCAAGAATCCCTTTGAACCTCCATATTGAATCATACAAATTGCTAAGTGGATTCAGGACAACTTTCTTTGAACTTAGTCATCCACTGCTCCCTATTCCCACCACAGGCTGAAATGCCATCAGAATGACTAGTCTTCTCTACCACATCCTTTCTCCAGAGCCTTGTGCTTCCCACAGCTCAGGAAATGAAGGGTCAGGAATGGAATGTGGTTTTCCCCTCACCAATCCTCAGGTCCATCAGGTTAACTCAATGGCTTGGCCTTTGAGGAGTCCTTTGTGCTCCCTGCTCTGATAGTATGATATTCATAACCACAGGATATCAAATCATGGAGTGGGTTTTATAAGTGAATCTTCACCCACCTTCAAACCCCAGTGCCAAATCAGTAGGAAGAAATCTGTTTTAGCATGAAATCTTGCCTGCTTTCATTAAGACAAATCATCTGAAATAGTCATTCCCCATCTTTACTTTGTATAGCTAATCACTTAGGGGTGGGGATCATTGCTACTTCAGTATAGTCTTGCCAGATGCTGAGCCTTACCCTCTCATCTTGTCTTCTGTAGAAAGCATGCCAACTAAACCATTAAAAGAAGTATCTTGTGGGCCGGGGATTTAGCTCAGTGGTTTCACCGCCTGCTGCTCAAGTGCAAGGACCCAAGTTCAATCCCTGGTACCAAAAAAAAAACAAAACACAAGAGTTCAGTAGTAGCCCCTGGGAACTGGCACTGAAACTTACTCTTCCCAGGTCATCCTTTCTGTGGCCTCTGAAAGGTAGATGAACAGGTAGGCAGGTATTGACATATATTAAATGCTTGGGCCAGTGGCCTCTCTGAGCTCGTGACATGAGGTATGTATGTAGTTTGTAGAATGCTTCCATATCACATGAGTGCTATCTGGAAGTCAGGCTGAGACCCAGAGGATTGCTGCCACCCAGAAAGTCTGGATAAGACCATATGGTTGTATTATTTTTCTCAGGTGGCCCTTAGAGTCTCCTGATGCTTAGCAGGGAGGCCTGGGGTGTTCTAAGAACACACCTATTCCTGACCAATCCTTTATCTGTGCAGGAGCAGTTCCTGGTTCCAGATCATACAATCAAAGACATCAGCGGTGCTTCCTTTGCCGGCTTCTATTACATCTGCTTTCAGAAGTCAGCAGCTTCCATAGAGGGCTACTACTACCATCGGAGTTCAGAATGGTGAGGACCCCAGTGGCCATGGACCATAGCAGAGGCTGGCTGCCCCTCTGGCTTTCCTTTAGCTAGTCAGACCCAAGAGAAAACTTCTCACCCTGCCTCTACAGATATCTTGGTTTTTATTTGGTTGCTGAGACCCTATTTAAATCACCTCATTTGCTCAGAATAGGTGTTCTTATCTACAGAGCCAAATAAATGAAATGAAGTATTGGGTAAAGAGATCTTTCTTCTTTCTTCTTTTCTTTTCTTGTAGTTCTGGGGATGAAACTATCCAGGGCCTTGTGCCCACTAGGCAAACATTCTACCACTGGGTACTACCATTAAATATTTACAAGCAATACAGCACTTTCAGCAAAGCTTATCTCAGTCTTACTGGTTTTGCATTCATACCTCCTAAATTTAATCAATTGCCAAAATGTAATTTGATCTTGTTTGGGACAGTGTGAGTTTTGCTGTTAGTAGGCAACACTCATCACACATGTGCTTGATTCCTGGCTAATATTAGGGGCAGTATGAGTTGACAGTCCTGCTAGTGTTTATCCCCAGTGAAGGACAGAAGGCAGCCTCAAGTCCTTACAGCTTGCTGCCTTTTGGGGACCTCCTTAGTGCTTATTTTAAAAGTTTGCTGTACCTGGAGGGGAACTATGTCATAAAACACCTGATTTCCTATCTGAAAGTAGACACACTTTATTTCCTTTCAAATTTTTCATCTTTAATGACTTGTGGTTGATCCAACCCTGTCACCATAATACAGTAGTAGACTTTCAGTAATTGTTCTGTTTTCAAGTGCATTTTTATAATTTTCATAATTCTTTTTAGTAAATGGCAGCTTTATTGAGATATTACTGCATTCCATACAATTCACTCATTTAAAGTAAATATCAGTGGTCTGTAGAATATTAATATCTACTTTAAAATATTTTCTTTTTATTTTTTGCAGTGCTGAGAATCAAACCCAAGCCCTCACACATGCTTGGCAAGCACTCTACTATTGACCTACACCCCTAGCCTAGAATATTTTTATCACCAGAAAAGGAAATCCCACTGTCCTTAATCATCACCCTACCCCTCATCCCCTCCCAGCTTTAGGCAACCACTAATCTTCTTTTTCTATATATAGATTTGCCTGTTCTGGGTATTTTGTATAAATGGCATTCTTACAACATGTGATCTTTATCCTTGCCATCTTTTGCTTAACATAATACTTTGAGGGTTCATTCATGCTGTAGTATATATCAGAACTTCATTTTTATTACCAAGTAAGTTTCCAGTTGGACATATATACATTTTATTTATCTATTCATTAGTTAATGGATACCTGGATAGTTTCCATCTTTTGGCTTTTATGAATAATGCTGCCGTGAACATGCTGTGAACAAGTTTCTGAGTTACTGCTTTCATTTCCTTTGGGGATATACCTAGAAGTGAAATTGCTGGGTCATACAGTGATTCTATATTTAACGTTCTGAGGAGGCGCCAAACTCTTTTTCCACAGTGGCTGCACCATTTATTCCCACTAGCAGTATTTGAGAGTTTGAATTTCTCCACATCCCCTTAACGCTTGTTACCACGTCTTTATAGTTATAGCTGCCTAAGAGGGCATGAAGTAGTATTTCATTGTAGTTTCAATTTGAAAATTCCTGATGGGCAATACATATATTCCTTTCTTGATTTTTTTTTTTTTGAGGGGGTGCTATAGATCAAATGCAGGCAAGTGCTGTACCATTGAGCTATATCCCCAGCCCTTTTTTTTTTGTACCGGGTTTTGAACGCAGGACCTCGTGCTTGCCCGGCAGGCACTGTGCTGCTGAGCTAAACCTCAGCAAACCTCTTCCTCCCTTTTTTTGGGGGGGGTGGGTACCGGGGATCGAACTCAGGTCCTTGCACTTACGAGGCAGGTGGTGTAACCACTGAGCTAAATCCCTGGCCCTCTTCCTTTTTAAGACAGATTCTCACTGTGTAGTTCAGGCTGATCTTGAACTCACTATGTAGTCTAGTTTGGTCTCAAACTTGGGGTGATCTTCCTGCCTCAGCCTCCTGAGTATTGGGATTACAAGCGTGTGGCACCATGCCCAGCCTCCAGCCCCCCCTGCCTTTTGGTATCGGGGATTGAACTTAGGACCTTGCACTTTTGAGGCACATGATGGGACCACTGAGCTAAATCCCTGGCCCCCAGCCCTTTTTTTTTCCTTTGGTACCAGGGATCGAACTCGGGTCCTTGCGGTTGTGCAGCAGTTGGTGAAACCACTGAGCTAAATCCCCGGGCCTCCCCAGCCCATTTTTAAGATGAAGAATAAACTACTTTTCCTTTGTTCTTTGTAAAACAAGCAGAGGAGAGCTAACCTCCTCATTGACTGAATGTGCCCAGGGTCTGTCCTCCCCATGTGTGAACTGTCCACCTTTCCCTTCTTTGTGACTCCTTAGAGCATCTGCCAGCTGGAGAAACACAAACTCAGATTCCTGTCTTGTGCTCCAGGCTTAATGCCACATCTTGGGAAGTGAGAAAATGGAGATGAATTGTAAAATAAGGTTTAAGGAGAGATATGAAGTTATTTTTTCTGTACTCTTTTTGGATACCATGAAATTAGGATATTCTTGTGTTATCTATGAAGCTCTTAGGACACTTCAGCCTGGTGTTCTGTAGATACAGCTGAAGCATTACAAGGTGAGAGGCCAAGCAGTAGAGGGAGGGAGGGCCAGACTGCAGGCTGCATCTTCTCCCCAGAGCTTATCATCCTGTTTCTATTTTTTTTTTCTGGTACCAGGGATTGAACTCGAGACCTTGCGCTTTCGAGGCAGGCAGTGGAACTACTGACCTAACTCCCCGGCAGGATCCTGTTTCTATAGACATGCAATAGTTGCTCTATGAATAGCACAGAATATGTAAAAGCAATTCGTCTTATTTATGGTTCAGGAGGATTACAGAAAAAGAAAAAGTCAAAGTATGTTCACATAGAAGTATAAAATGAATTAGTGGATTTTGCCACCTGCTGTGCAAGTGCAAGGACCTGAGTTCAATCCCCAGTACCAAAAAAAAAAAAATGAATTAGCAGAGAGGTGCAGTGGCACACATCCTTAATCCCAGCTACTTGGTACCAGAAAGGTATTTTTTTTTGTATGGGGGATTGAACTTGGGTCCTTGCGCTTGTGCAGCAGGCAGTGAAACCACTGAGCTAAATCCTCGGCCAATCCCAGCTACTTGGAAGGCTAAGACAAGAGGATTGCTTGAGGCTGGGAGCTTTTTTTCTCTTTTTTTCTCTTTCTTTTCTTTTTTTTTTTTGAGACAGGGTCTTACCATGCAGTCAGGCTGGCCTTGAATTTGCAGCAATCCTCCTACCTTGGCCTCCTGAGTGCTGGGATTATAGGCATGCACCACCCCACTGAGCCTGGACGTTTAAGACCACCCTAGACACATAGTGAGACCCTGTTCCCTTGTCCTCCCCAGCAAAAGAATTAGCATTTCAGTCTGAGTATGATATGCTGCTGGGTGCTCTGGTTTGGGAATTCTCTAACATCCTTTGGTCATTATGCATTGGCCAACTATCTTCTATTCTGTCTCTTCCTCATTGCAGGTATCAGTCCCTCAACCTAACTCATGTTCCTGAACATAGTGCACCCATCTATGAATTCCGGTGACATCGGCTCAGAACATCAACCAGATAAAACTGAACTTGGCACCAAAGAGCTTTGCCAAGAAAATTGTGTACCTGCCAGAACCAGGAGAGTTTTGTTCCTGTTTCTTCATGAGCAGATTCGAATCAGAAAGCATGAATGTTAACCCACAGAATCCAAGGAGAAAGGCCAACCAGCAGGGCAGGTGGAGGACTGTCTTCCTTCCTCCTCCAACTCTGTGGCGGTCTGGTCGTCATCTGTTTCCAAGCTACCTTAAATGCACTTTTCCTTCCTGCACAGCTCACTTCTGCATTGCTGAAATGCCCGTTCCTTTCTCTGCCCTGCCTCCAGCCGAGCAGAAGGTCAGCTCCTGGGTCACCCTCAGCCTTGGTGCTCAGTGGTCCCCACCCAGGCCCTCACCCCTCCCCAGTTGTTTATCTGGTAGCCCAAGACAAGGCAGAGCCCCAGCACCTCTGTGTCCCCAGAGCTCTGTGCGAGAAATTGGCCAGCTGTGGCCACATCTGCCACCAGTGAAACAAGGCAGGACCCTGTGGGGCCTCATTGGTCTTCATTCAGTGGGCACTGCTGAGCCCTATACTATTAACTACGCAGGGCTAGTATGTGGCTGTCAGGTTCCTGAGCCTGCAGCGGGATCACTAAATTTAAGGCTTCCAGATCCCTGGCAGGAACAGATCCCAAACCTGCATACTCAGTACTTTTGGTCCAAACTTTTGAACTTGAGGGCAATACTAAACTTAAAAATAAGAGGGATTTTTTTTTACAAAATTATTTTTATGGTCCCTTTAATGAGGACCCTATGGCAAATGCACAATTATTCAGAATTACATTTTATCGTTTTCACATTGAAAACAGCAAATGTTGACTTAGTAATTTTTATATGTATATGTATATGTATATGTATATTTAATCAACCAGCAGTTTTGAAATAAGTCATCCTGGTACAGAAGTTTTGCAGCATCACATAAATTATAGTGCTAAACACAAGAACTGTTTTTGGGGCCAGTTTAGAATTTGTACCTGCTCCTTTTGCTACTCAAAACAACAATGCTTTGTGGTGACCTTTTCCACAAGGCAGAAAGGGTCTTCATTCTCCAGAAACAGTGACTGAAATGCCAGGATGGGATGAGGGATGGGAAATATGAACTTGAGGCTCATGTGCCAAAGTGTGTGTGTGTGTGTGTGTGTGTGTGTGTGTGTGTGTGTGTGTGTTGGTTTTCTTTCCTTTTGTTTTTTTAAATGTTTAAAAACTTAATAGGTTGGCACCAGTTGTAGCCCATAAATAGGGGCAGGGCTTTGGAGAATTGGCATTTTTCTGGTGGTTTACATAACTTAGTCTAAATATAAGAAAAGCTTTAAAAACAAGATAGCATGGGGCTGGGGGTATAAGCTCAATGGTAGAGCACTTGCCTAGCATGCGTGGGACCTTGGGTTCCACCCTCAGTACCACCAAAAAAAAAAAACAGCATTGTAACTACAGGAACAGAACAGTCTGCATGTTACACGTCCATGGGCCGTGTAAGAAAATGCAAAGCCCTTTGGTGAAATGAGTGGTGGAAATGATTTTTATTCTTAAGATGTGACTTTCCTTTTCATGACATGTACTGTATGTTACTGAGTCTGAATGTTGGGGGAACCCTTAACACATTCACAGTGGGGCCGTAATTCATATGTCTCACTGCTGAGGGGGCTTGAACCACTGTTGGTATATGCATGACAGTCCCACGCATGACTTCCACTTCTGCCACCCGTGGTATAAGCCACTGAATGGGATGGTCATGCATGTACCACTGGTGGTTCAAGATGGTGGGAACATGTTAAAAGTGCAGAATTCAGGGAAGTAGCCAGTGGATACTTGTGAGGTCTAAATTTTGAAGTCCAGAGACTGTGCAGAGGTACAACCTACCCATTCAGTGAGGGCAGGGCTTGGAGCCCCTAAAAATCACTCTGATAACTTTGGTGGAAAAATAATGCACATCCTTTTCCAGAGATGCATTGAAAATGTTTTTTGATCCTTAAAATTCAAGCTGGGCATAATAACATGTGCCCATAGTCCCAGCTCTTAGGAGCTCAGGCATCTTAGTGAGACCTTGTCTTCAAAAAAAAGAAAATCATTCCCGGGGATTTAGCTCAGTGGTTCCAGCGCCTGCCTCGCAAGCACAAGGACCTGAGTTCAATCCCCAATACAAAAAAAAAAAAAAAAATCTGCAGTTAAAAAAGAAAACTATTGAAACTCAACAAGGCATTGAATGTCTGGCTCTGGTCAGACTGCTGGTTCACACTTAAAAGATGCTCACCCTTGCTCCATTAAGCTGAGGGATGTCCCCGAAGAATAAAGGAGGCGTGTAGCAAGACTGGCTTTCCTCAGATGGACCTTGCATCCCCTTCCCCTCAGCTCGCCTCTCCCGGCATACCAGGAGACAGTGGCATTTACCAGCTCCCTCGAGGGATGTGGGCCCACTCAGAGCAGCAGGTGGTTATCCCCAGAGTTGTGGCTGGTGTATGTAGCAAAGAGTGGTGCACCAGTGGGCATGGAGGGACACTTAACAGGCACTGCTGGTGTCTATTACAGGGATTCTTCCTTTTCTCCTTAGCTAGGTAATGAAGTGCACTAGTTGTACTAGAAAAAATGAAGACATGGTACGTTTACCGGATCCTTCAGACATTTCTGTGATAAAGATTAATTGGCTTAAGTTTGCCCAGTGAACAGAGTGGTAGGATTAAGCATTTTTCCACTTCCTCTTAATAATGCCCAAAATCAGTACCAACTCTTTTCTCTCTGTCCCTGAAGGACCTTTGAGAAATCATCTCCATATGTATTTGTTCTTTCCTGAACCCTCTTAGTGGTTTACATGCCTCTGATCCTATGTGCAATATTTTTGGTTGATATCTGTATTCATCATTAAGAAATACACAGCTTGCAGGTTTCTTACTATCTTCTTCCACCCTAAACAAGCCTGCCATGAGGGGGGATCCTGCAGGATTTGGTTCTTTTTACCCCACTACTTAGAAGGCTTCCACTCTGCTGGCCCCAGCCTTGTCCCTCTTGTGCCCTGGACTTCTCCTTTCTACCCACTTAGCCTTTTAAAGTTTGTGTAGGGTTTCAGCTGCAGTCCAAAAGTAACTAGACAATACCTAATGTTAAGTAGAACATCAGTCTGTGCTGGTTCTGTTGATGATGCTGAAATCACAAACTCCAAGCAAGCAAAGGGGTTTCTAATGTCTTTTGCTTTCAGAAGCAAGGAGTTTTATGTTCTCTAAGGCCTTGAATTAATTTTTTTCCTCATAAAATAGTCTGATAAGCTAATTTTTAAGAAAGAAATGCCATTAAATATGTTGCGTTGTGGTTTAAAGTTACTAACAAGTTCTGGGAAAGAAAAGTAATATTTGACTTTAAAAATGTTTTTTAAAATTAGATTTGAATGGGCGCAAAATGTGAGTATTTTGTTTCTTTAAGGAGGACATAGAAGTGGTTTGAGGGTTTGGGATGGGAGAAGTATTTTGCAGAGCTATCAATGTCCAAATAATTTTTAAAAAATAATAAAAGTATTTAAGGAGTGTGTGTCCTATTTCTAAATCAAAACAGTCCTGTTAGCAAAAACCAGTCCCTTCCTGGCCCTGTGGCTACAGAGCACTCTAGGGCTGAGCAGAGACTGTGTGGGCCAGGAACAGGCTGAGGCCCTCTCTGGGGAACTGCTGGCAGTGGTCTGCTGGTTCCTTTTCATCCTGGAGGTTTTCAAGCAGCCACTCTGTTTTATTTCTGTGTTTTCCCTTCCCCTCTCTCTCCTCCCCTCCCCTTCTGTAGTGGAAATAAACCCAGGGGAGCTACCACTGAGCTACATCCCCAGTCCCTTTTTCTTTTGTTTTCATGCTGGCCTTGAACTCACTGGGTAGTCCAAGCTGGCCTCAGACTCTGTGCCACCGGTCCCATGTTTGTTTGTTTTTTATGGGGGATCGAACTCGGGTCCTTGCGCTTATGCAACAGGCGGCAAAACCACTGAGCTAAATCCCCAGCCCTGTCCCAGGTATTTTTTGATTTTGAGGCAAGGTCTCACTGTTTCCAAGGCTGGCCTCAAACTGAATTCTTCCTGCCTCAGCCTCTCAAGTAGCTGGAATTCCAAGTGTGTGCTACCACATCTGGCCTGATTTCTACTTTTTTTTTTTTTTGGCAAAATTTATTGGTTATTTTAGTAAAGACTTTCATCTCGTTTCTCTCCTCATCTTGACCTTAGATTAGTATTTCATTTGGGTCAAGAAAAAAGTATCTAGAAGAAGGAATAACAATTGTTAAAAACAATTGTTAAAATAACAATTTTAACAAACAGTAAAATCAACAAAAATGAATAGCTTGCCTACATAAAAGTAAAGTTAAACTCATGTATCTTGGTATAATTAAATCATGTAAGAACTAATAGTTCTATATACATTTCCATTGTTTTACTTGGGGCTTAATCTAAATTTTAATGTAAAAGAACAACTTACTAGGCATATTCGCAGGTTTCTTCTCAAGTTACTATTAAAAAAGATTAGCAAGTAACTACCACCAATAAAATAGTCTGAAGCTGGCTCCAAATTTAACATTGTAGGAATTCTGAAGGAAATCACTATATCATTTTTCTTTTGTCTTTACATTTTTTTTTCAAGGAATGTGAAGGATTTGGACAGGGTTGGGGTTATGTGCAGGATTTATACTTTTTTTTTTTTTTTGGTACCGGGGATGGAACTCGGGACTTTGCACTTATGAGGCAGGCAGCAGAATCACTGAGCCAAATCCCCAGCCCCATAGGATTTATACTTTTAGTTCAGAAAGTATGCAGATGGATTGATCCATTTGCTGTCTGCTTTGCAATCATATTTGTACAGGTGATCGAGTCAGGCATGGTCTGTGGGCTGCTCTTCGCTGTACCATGGTCCTCAGAGGAAATGCAAGAGCCCCCTAAGCACAGGCACTGGCAATGTCCTCACCAGATGGTTTGGTTTGGTTTGATTTGGTTTTGAGACAGGGTCTCACTATGTAGCGCAGGCTGGCCTTGAATTTGCAGTGATCCTCCTGCCTCAGCCTCCTAAGTGCTGGGATTACAGGGGTGCACCATCACACTCAGCCTCATCAGATGTTGACCACAAGCAGTAGCCCTTGATTTCACTGCCCTTGAACCTGAGGTCTGTAACTGAGTAGTTCCATGAGTTACCACCACCCTAGGCAGCACCAAGGGGCATGGTTGTAAACACCATTTGGTTTTTTGAGGAGCTATTTCAAGTATTTCATAAGTTTGAATTTTAAACAAGTTGGAATGCAAAGGGAATTTACATGAATGGCAGAGCAAAGTTCCCCATGTGTACAAAGTATCCTCCAATATCACATCATTTACACAGAAATAATAAACTTTTCTCCCATGAGATACATTGTTTAGAAAGGAGCAGACTATTCACAATGCTGGACTCATGTTTTAAGACATGATTTTTCTTATTGCTTTGTAGAACAGAAAAGGCTGTGAGAGACCTAGTTTCTCCAGAAGCCACCTCTAGGTCCTACATGTGCATCAGCTACTCTCTCTGAGCCCAAGTTCCCTCCCCTAGAAGGTGGGGAAAGCAGCCTCTGCCTGGCCTAAGGAATTTGAGAAGGCTCCAGAAACTTTGAAAGCACCTTATAAACTCTAAAAATGAAACACATGTGAAATGTTCTTGCTTAATAATGCTACGAGGGGCCGGGGATTTAGCTCAGTAGTTCTGGCACCTGCCTCGAAAGCACAAGGTTCCGAGTTTAATCCCCAGTACCAAAATAATAATAATAATAATGCTATGAGATGTTTACCTAGGCCTGCGTGTGCAGTGCACCATCCAGGGTACTGAAGATGATGTAGAAATGTGCTCCCTGCTCTCAAAGAACTGATAATCTAGAGCAGCTAGTAAAACCCTCCTTGGTAGCTCAGTTGTTATTGTTGAGGGTGGGAATGGTGGGGGTAGTGTGTGTGTGTGTTTTGAGACTGGGTCTAGTTATGTTGCCCAGATTCTTGGACTCAAGGAATCCTGCCTCAGCCTCTATTAGCTGGGATGACATGCACGTGCCACCACACCCGGATAAATAGCTCAACTCTTAAATCCCTAATTTTTTTTTCAGTACCAAGACGTGAACTCAGAACCTTGTGTTTGCCAGGCAGACGCGGCACCACTGAGCTAAATTCCTGGCTCCTCTAATTTTTAACCTTATTTGTTTTAGTTTTAAGACATCCATAGAAACAATAGAAAAATTATAAGCCAGGTGTGGTGGCACACACCTGTAATCCCAGCATTCGGGAGGTTGAGGCAGGAGGATCACTTTGAGTTTGAGGCCAGCCTGGGCTACATAGTGAGTTCAAGACCGGCCTGAACTACAGAGCAAGACCCTGTCTCAAAAAACAAAAATAAGTAAAAAAGGAAAATAATAAACACAAGTGCTGTCTCTACTGACCTGAACTGCACCTGAGAAGGAAATCATTGAAATTTCTTAGTAATGAAATAGGTAGCTTGTTGGGGGGGCGGGGGGGGGGGCGCGGGGCGGGGATAGCCTGAAAATTGGATTGCTGCTTTTCCCTCCAGATTTTTCTCCCAAAACATCTCAAGATTCAAACTCCCTGTCTGTACATAGCAAGAAAAACATGTACAGCTTTTCATTTGTAGAGAAGCATATTCTGGATTCAAGTTTCTTTTTGCCACTTCTGATTTCTCAGCTTGCTTCATTTTTCAATGCATTAGTCATCCTTCTTCATAATTGCCCAACAGTCCCTGTGTGCCAGTCCCTTCTCTCACTGGCATGTCCTGGAGAGGTGCTGCTCAAACCTGGCTGTATGTCCCTGGGAGTTGATTTAAAAGTCACATCTGGCCAGGCACCATGCAGTTCCAGCTTCCTGCAGTTCCAGCTTCTCAGGAGTCTGAGGCAGGAGTATTTCTTGTGTCCAGGAGTTCAGCAACATAGTGAGACCCCATCTCAGAAAATTAATTCATTAAAATTATTCTGTCCAGCAGCATCTACAGCAGTTCTACCACAATCTGCTGACATTTGTGGAGCTCCTGTGGTGACACCAATGAACAGGATAACTTTGAGAGATTAAGTGATCCCCACTGAAAGAAGAGAAAGATTTTCAGCCATGTGATGTTGGTGAACTTAAGTATGGTCCCCCTGAGCAGAAGCCTCACAGGTTTTCAGTAGTGTGACTTCAGAGCTGT